GATTAATAAGCTAACCCCGCCAAATGATTGTCCAGAAAAATTTCATCAGTTATAACTTAAAAATATCAGATTTTATTAAATTGGCAAGATGATGCTTTTTTGCTATTTAAGCTTTTCTATATACTTAATTAATTATTTGAATAAAGACATTTTTATAAGTTAAATCGTAAACATTTAACGCAAATATTTGAGCGAAAATTTCTGCCATATCTATATTACTTCGAAGATTTCAAGGAGGTAGTGTTATTTCTAAATGATAATTATTTGTTACGAAATAATGGATTTTTGAAAAGAAAATTTATTTATATCAAATGGCAGGCGTTTTGATGGTTATCAATAGCCCTTTAGTTGACTTCAGGCTTCACAGAGGAGAAGGAACATCAAAGTGCAAAAATCGAGACAGAGGGGGAACAGAAGAGTTTTTCAAAGATGTAAAAAAGACAGACACAATGGTAGAAAAAAAGGTGAGGTGAGTACTGTGGAAGAAGTCGAATATGACATACAGTGGGGTGATGGTAGTTTGAAGTGAGAAGTCAACTGCCGGTTTATAGACTTTTTGCCATATTGGTGCATTATCAGTTGCTGAATCACTGGAGGCAAGTGGTGAGAAGACCGAAGAGGGCCCGGAGGAAATTTCGAAAGATCCGGGTGTTCGTGCAGAGAGTCCCATTAGAAAGTTCCCAGAGCCACTTCCTGATGCTCATGTCAACGAGCCTTCAGAGGCCATCTCAAATGAGGTTAAAAAAGTATGAGTTCTCGAATGCATTCCATATTATCATCAGTTGAAAGCGTCTTTCTTTTTAGGAATGATGCTTAAATGCATTGGAGGATTAATGAATAATTTTTACCCATGTTTGGGTAATGCCTAATTCCGCGAGTATTGAACAAAATGCCTCCAAACGAGCTTTCATCCTTCTAGTTTTGTGAGATTTTCACCATACAAATTGATGGAGAATAAAGAAAAGAAAATAAAGGTATTCGATTAAAACAATTGCGATTTGATAGGTTGAGGTGAACGTTTGTCACTGTTGTGAATATTTTGCTTAGATGTTTGTTAAATGAAGTGGATAGACTACAACTACTGGGTGGCCGTAGGCTTACATGCTTCCCAAATTAGACTCTAAGGAGTTATGAGTGAAACTAATTAAATTACCCACCAGCAAACGAATGTCAGACAAGAGAGAAAAAAACATGATAGAAAGAGTGAACTGAAAGGGCTGAGAAGAAAAGGAGAATTAGGTGTTTGCATGGGGTGTATTAGCATTGGCCTATAAATAACACAGATAAACTATTATTATCAAAAATCAATATTTCGTTGGCAAATTGAAATCTGGTGGAAGAGATTTGAAATTCCATGACTACACTCGGTTTAAACGAGCTTCTAAAATGATGATTAATCTCGCTGAAAACCCTTAAACTTTAAATTGTTGTTATAGGAATGAGGACGTTGTCCGCTAACTCCTCACACTGATATGCTCACTTTTTGATCATAATTTTTCGTTACGGTGAATCGATCACATCGTTCTCATTTACACCCACGAGAAGGCGAGTGAGGCACTTTTGATGATTAATTAACTTGCAGTCTAAGAATTGTCTCAACAAGAACATTGAGTAAAATACCTGATTTCTAAATAACCCATTCAAAAACATTTCTATCTACTTGAAGATTATGCATGTTCTTTAATCCTGAAATAATAGAATCGCTTAATTCCTTTAAATATACTCAAATTCGTTCAATATTTTATTTTCTTATCCCAAATAAGCTTCATTGCCAACAAAAATGTATTGAAAATCTCATTAGAATATGCAGCGAGAACGCAAGGAACTCGTACGGAATAACCTAAATATCTTAATTGCATTTTGTGCTTAGTACTAAAAAATAAAGCAGCTTGATTCTGGCCATTAGCAAAAGTTATTCCTTACCTATTGATTTAAAAAAAATCGATGGTCGGTCAGTAATTAATTAAAAAACATTTGGACTAAATGATGATTGGATGCTAAAGCACACGACCCTGAGGAGAGGGTAAAAAATATGAGTGTTAATCAGCTTATGAAATATTTCCTAAAATACAAATGGCCATGGAAACAACTATTCTAATTAAGGAATATTAAAACGTTAGTTAATTTGCTTGAATTAACAGTGCTATTTTAAATTGATGCAGTCATAAGGACAGTTAAAATGCATTTTAAACAAATCTCTTTTACACAATCTCAAATTTTTGAAAAATTAATTTATGGAACGTGGACGTTACAAAATTAACAGTACTTCAATGCGATTGCTAAAAATACGATTAACAGTAATTGATTCAGCTCTCGATTCTAACGGGATTAAAATTTTTAAAATAGCAATGATTGAGGGGAATGAAAATTAAAAAAGTTTATAAATGTGTTGTGGGGTAAATTTAAAACAAATTTTAACAAACTCTATAATTCAAAAATAAATTAAAAGCTCGGACACCATGTAATGTGCATAACGTAATAATTTATTATGCACAATTATCTACATCAAAAGGAAAAAATTGTTTTTTGCACTGTGTGAATGAAATTTAAATTTCTTAAGAGTATAAAAAATAAAAACTTGGTAAAATGGATTGGGAAGGTTTTGAAATTGCCATCAGACCAAAAAAAGCCTCACAACAATAACCTAAAGTGTAGTTTCATAATTTGCGGCTTGGACCTTGAAGCAAGTTCTCGTTCGCTCATTGACCGATCGCAAAGAATCAGATGTCACCCAGCCATTTTAACTCATTTTTTTGTCAATATAAAATTTATCCCCCGCGATAAGTGACCGTTTATAGGAGTTTATACGCTAAAGTTGAACCTTTGTGTAGATATTAGGGCTTTACAAGCCGTCATCAAGTTATTCAAGTCAATGCGGATGTGAAATCATTCATTCATGGAACTTGATCGCCCAAGACAATCATTCCAAAAACCCAAAAAAACTGAAACTTTCCGCATTCTGTTTACTCGATTTCAAAGTGGGCTAATTTACATTTGGCCAGTTTTAAATTGTCGGATTCATCTCATGACTCAAATTAGCAAGAGTTTCTTTGCTTTTTGCGGTTAAAACTAGAGCACTCTTTAGTTTTAATCTAACGTTTGCTCTTCTTGTTTAGAAAGTGAAAAAAACCCAAGAAATTAGCATACCATGAGAGGACGCGAAACTGATGTTGATTAAGTACTCGACTCACAGTCTAACTTTATCATGGGTGTGTCAGCAATAACAACCCTACTTTGATGAGTCTAGACCTCTGAATGCCTATAAATGGGAAAATCATCCCAAGTCGAATAGATGAAGGCAAGACAATCAGTGTCATTAGAAATTAAAATTTGAATCTGCAGATTTGTTTGCATTTACTTACAAAGCAGTTTGAATTAATATGATACATTGGATAAAGTGCCAATTTAAACAAACAAGACAACCAAGCTTACTTCCTTGTCCTGATGGTTTAAATCCAGGTCATATATTTTCCAATCAAGATGTTAATTAGTGAATAATTAACTAATTTTATCTTAGAAGAACGCTAATCAGCTCGAGGAAAATTATCACTAAGTTCGAGCATCATAGTTTTTCGCCTCAGGAATTGAAGATTTGAATTAGTCATCTAAAAGGGAGGCAATAATTCGCTCAATGCTCAAGTGGGGGGCGGATCACAAATCGTCACTTTTAAAACGTGATGTATGGGATAAAAATTTTGTGTTAACTAGATTTCAAAGATAACATTTATTTATAACAAGTGGCAGGCGTTTTGATAGTTATTATTAGCTCTCTAGTTGCCTTCAGGCTTCACAGAGAGGAGGAGGAATATCAAAGTGAGAAGAATTCGTTAGGGGGGAATAGAAGAGGGATTCACAGATGGAAAAGAAACAGACAGACACAAAGGCTCAGAAAGGTTAAGATGAGTACTGTGGTAGGGGTCGAATATGACATACAGTGGGGTGATGGCAGTTTGAAGTCAAAAGTCAACTGCCGGTTTATAGACTTTTTTGCCATATGATAATATGTTGCCCAGGGTGCACCACGAGGAGGTACGTCTATCCCACACCCCACAAAGATAACATCATATAACACTCTTTGATGGTGTATTCTTTTCTCATGATCCTTATCACTTTATTTCTTACTCGACTTTAGATAATCCACACACATTTGAATTGACAACTTGTTATTGACGTAATAGCTAATCATCCTGATATATCTCTCCCCTTTGAATACCAAAAGCTGCAAAGTAATTATATCAACAAAATCTTAATATGATGCTTCTAATGTTAAGCATTATGTTATTTAAATTTTTCATTTATATTTTATTTAAATGCTTTTTTCTTGCCTAATTTTAGTTGGGCACGCCTTTAAGGGAGTATATTTCAATAATTCATGCCTTTTTCCGCTATGTACTTAAGCTGAGTTGTCAAAAATTTGAAATAAGCAATAAAGCGACCTTGAAGAATCAATTATTCAACTATCAATGCTTCAAATTTATATATAATTATAACTCATTTAAATTTACTATCAATTAACCAATTAGGGAGTTTGATATGATTGGTGATAATGGAAAAATATCATGCACCCTGGAACGTATCACGCAAGTAAAAATATGAGACAACGTAAATAACACCGAAGTTATTTTTAAAATTTGAGGATTTCACAAACTGGGGAAGAGATTTATATATTATGAGAATTTATAAATTATATTTTTACTCATTTCAAATCCGTTGCCCCCAACATAGGGCATATTGGTCCCTGACAAACCGATTGATCTGAAAATTTAAAACAAGGTAGTAATGATGAAATAGGCAAACAATAAATATTAAAATTATCATACCTAACTATTTAAGTTTTCTTTAAAACTAGACCGTTTTGGAGCAACGAATGTTTCCGACTAATTTAGAATATTTTGAAAATTATTTATAGTATTCAAATTATGTAAAAACAAGTTAAATGAATTATGCGGTTAGAAGCCTACTTTGTCACTAACTTTTGATTGATAAATATTGCAAATGCTTCATACTGATTTAAATAATTATATTTACAGAAAATGTATGTAACCGCCATGTCCATGCCGTATCGATTCGCTGCCATGCAAGTGTAATTGCTATAGTCACTTTCACGAATATTCTTTACTTTCAGAAGCGATATCACGTCAGTCACCTAAATAAATGCAAAACAAACAAATTTTCCCTTTTGTGCTTTTAAGTAGAATAGTGAGGTTGTTTCAACTTACATTAGTCCCAACTGCTCCATAACTCCTGGTTTTCTCCAGATCATATTTGGCACTGTCATAGAGAGGAATGTTGTTTACATTCGGATCATACACGCCCTTAAACCAGAGCAGATCGGGGTCAGGATAACCATTGACAATACACTCCATTATGACATCGTAGTTGCTATCGCTTTTCTACATGAACACAAAATCAAAACAAATTATTAATAATAAAAATTTAATTGAAGACTTATATTTATATTAAAAAATTGTTAAATTGAGCAATTTTTAGTATTAGTCTTTATTTTTTCATCCGCTATCCCAAGATCAACTAAACTTTGATGAAATTATTTTACTCCGATCGATATTTGGCCATGAAGGGCTAATGATAAATATCCCAAAGCCTGCCATTTGAAATAATAATAATAATATTTGGCCATACTGCGGTAGCATAATACATCCGGACTGAAAAATTTCCTTTAACAGTCGCGATAAAACCCCACCCATTGAGATAAACCGATTGATAAATTCCATTGTTGCATTCGTAGAAGTTGTTAGTTATCTGTATATAAGTGTGTGAGTATATATGGTGGCTGATTTCCTTGACATTTGAGAACCAAGATTAATTTGAGCGAACTGTATGTTGCCCTGGTAATGTTCTCTAGAAACTACCTTTTGTTAATGAGTGTAAATCATGCAAG